AAAGTCATTTTACCAAAAAAACCAAAATTTTAAAAAAGTTCCTAATATAATTCAATTTTTCTTAGGCGGACTATTTTATTGCATTTTCTTGCACAAAATACACCTAAAAGTGTAGAAAAAAATTGACAGCCAGATCAGAGTAGAGGAAGACACCTATTACCACCTAAAAGTCATTTTACCAAAAAAACCAAAATTTTAAAAAAGTTCCCAATATAATTCAATTTTTCTTAGGCGGACTATTTTATTGCATTTTCTTGCACAAAATACACCTAAAAGTGTAGAAAAAAATTGACAGCCAGATCAGAGTAGAGGAAGACACCTATTACCACCTAAAAGTCATTTTACCAAAAAAACCAAAATTTTAAAAAAGTTCCTAATATAATTCAATTTTTCTTAGGCGGACTATTTTATTGCATTTTCTTGCACAAAATACACCTAAAAGTGTAGAAAAAAATTGACAGCCAGATCAGAGTAGAGGAAGACACCTATTACCACCTAAAAGTCATTTTACCAAAAAAACCAAAATTTTAAAAAAGTTCCTAATATAATTCAATTTTTCTTAGGCGGACTATTTTATTGCATTTTCTTGCACAAAATACACCTAAAAGTGTAGAAAAAAATTGACAGCCAGATCAGAGTAGAGGAAGACACCTATTACCACCTAAAAGTCATTTTACCAAAAAAACCAAAATTTTAAAAAAGTTCCTAATATAATTCAATTTTTCTTAGGCGGACTATTTTATTGCATTTTCTTGCACAAAATACACCTAAAAGTGTAGAAAAAAATTGACAGCCAGATCAGAGTAGAGGAAGACACCTATTACCACCTAAAAGTCATTTTACCAAAAAAACCAAAATTTTAAAAAAGTTCCCAATATAATTCAATTTTTCTTAGGCGGACTATTTTATTGCATTTTCTTGCACAAAATACACCTAAAAGTGTAGAAAAAAATTGACAGCCAGATCAGAGTAGAGGAAGACACCTATTACCACCTAAAAGTCATTTTACCAAAAAAACCAAAATTTTAAAAAAGTTCCTAATATAATTCAATTTTTCTTAGGCGGACTATTTTATTGCATTTTCTTGCACAAAATACACCTAAAAGTGTAGAAAAAAATTGACAGCCAGATCAGAGTAGAGGAAGACACCTATTACCACCTAAAAGTCATTTTACCAAAAAAACCAAAATTTTAAAAAAGTTCCTAATATAATTCAATTTTTCTTAGGCGGACTATTTTATTGCATTTTCTTGCACAAAATACACCTAAAAGTGTAGAAAAAAATTGACAGCCAGATCAGAGTAGAGGAAGACACCTATTACCACCTAAAAGTCATTTTACCAAAAAAACCAAAATTTTAAAAAAGTTCCTAATATAATTCAATTTTTCTTAGGCGGACTATTTTATTGCATTTTCTTGCACAAAATACACCTAAAAGTGTAGAAAAAAATTGACAGCCAGATCAGAGTAGAGGAAGACACCTATTACCACCTAAAAGTCATTTTACCAAAAAAACCAAAATTTTAAAAAAGTTCCCAATATAATTCAATTTTTCTTAGGCGGACTATTTTATTGCATTTTCTTGCACAAAATACACCTAAAAGTGTAGAAAAAAATTGACAGCCAGATCAGAGTAGAGGAAGACACCTATTACCACCTAAAAGTCATTTTACCAAAAAAACCAAAATTTTAAAAAAGTTCCTAATATAATTCAATTTTTCTTAGGCGGACTATTTTATTGCATTTTCTTGCACAAAATACACCTAAAAGTGTAGAAAAAAATTGACAGCCAGATCAGAGTAGAGGAAGACACCTATTACCACCTAAAAGTCATTTTACCAAAAAAACCAAAATTTTAAAAAAGTTCCTAATATAATTCAATTTTTCTTAGGCGGACTATTTTATTGCATTTTCTTGCACAAAATACACCTAAAAGTGTAGAAAAAAATTGACAGCCAGATCAGAGTAGAGGAAGACACCTATTACCACCTAAAAGTCATTTTACCAAAAAAACCAAAATTTTAAAAAAGTTCCCAATATAATTCAATTTTTCTTAGGCGGACTATTTTATTGCATTTTCTTGCACAAAATACACCTAAAAGTGTAGAAAAAAATTGACAGCCAGATCAGAGTAGAGGAAGACACCTATTACCACCTAAAAGTCATTTTACCAAAAAAACCAAAATTTTAAAAAAGTTCCCAATATAATTCAATTTTTCTTAGGCGGACTATTTTATTGCATTTTCTTGCACAAAATACACCTAAAAGTGTAGAAAAAAATTGACAGCCAGATCAGAGTAGAGGAAGACACCTATTACCACCTAAAAGTCATTTTACCAAAAAAACCAAAATTTTAAAAAAGTTCCTAATATAATTCAATTTTTCTTAGGCGGACTATTTTATTGCATTTTCTTGCACAAAATACACCTAAAAGTGTAGAAAAAAATTGACAGCCAGATCAGAGTAGAGGAAGACACCTATTACCACCTAAAAGTCATTTTACCAAAAAAACCAAAATTTTAAAAAAGTTCCCAATATAATTCAATTTTTCTTAGGCGGACTATTTTATTGCATTTTCTTGCACAAAATACACCTAAAAGTGTAGAAAAAAATTGACAGCCAGATCAGAGTAGAGGAAGACACCTATTACCACCTAAAAGTCATTTTACCAAAAAAACCAAAATTTTAAAAAAGTTCCCAATATAATTCAATTTTTCTTAGGCGGACTATTTTATTGCATTTTCTTGCACAAAATACACCTAAAAGTGTAGAAAAAAATTGACAGCCAAATACGAGTAGAGGAAGACACCTATTACCACCTAAAAGTCATTTTACCAAAAAAACCAAAATTTTAAAAAAGTTCCCAATATAATTCAATTTTTCTTAGGCGGACTATTTTATTGCATTTTCTTGCACAAAATACACCTAAAAGTGTAGAAAAAAATTGACAGCCAGATCAGAGTAGAGGAAGACACCTATTACCACCTAAAAGTCATTTTACCAAAAAAACCAAAATTTTAAAAAAGTTCCTAATATAATTCAATTTTTCTTAGGCGGACTATTTTATTGCATTTTCTTGCACAAAATACACCTAAAAGTGTAGAAAAAAATTGACAGCCAGATCAGAGTAGAGGAAGACACCTATTACCACCTAAAAGTCATTTTACCAAAAAAACCAAAATTTTAAAAAAGTTCCTAATATAATTCAATTTTTCTTAGGCGGACTATTTTATTGCATTTTCTTGCACAAAATACACCTAAAAGTGTAGAAAAAAATTGACAGCCAGATCAGAGTAGAGGAAGACACCTATTACCACCTAAAAGTCATTTTACCAAAAAAACCAAAATTTTAAAAAAGTTCCCAATATAATTCAATTTTTCTTAGGCGGACTATTTTATTGCATTTTCTTGCACAAAATACACCTAAAAGTGTAGAAAAAAATTGACAGCCAAATACGAGTAGAGGAAGACACCTATTACCACCTAAAAGTCATTTTACCAAAAAAACCAAAATTTTAAAAAAGTTCCTAATATAATTCAATTTTTCTTAGGCGGACTATTTTATTGCATTTTCTTGCACAAAATACACCTAAAAGTGTAGAAAAAAATTGACAGCCAAATAAGAGTAGAGGAAGACACCTATTACCACCTAAAAGTCATTTTACCAAAAAAACCAAAATTTTAAAAAAGTTCCTAATATAATTCAATTTTTCTTAGGCGGACTATTTTATTGCATTTTCTTGCACAAAATACACCTAAAAGTGTAGAAAAAAATTGACAGCCAGATCAGAGTAGAGGAAGACACCTATTACCACCTAAAAGTCATTTTACCAAAAAAACCAAAATTTTAAAAAAGTTCCTAATATAATTCAATTTTTCTTAGGCGGACTATTTTATTGCATTTTCTTGCACAAAATACACCTAAAAGTGTAGAAAAAAATTGACAGCCAGATCAGAGTAGAGGAAGACACCTATTACCACCTAAAAGTCATTTTACCAAAAAAACCAAAATTTTAAAAAAGTTCCCAATATAATTCAATTTTTCTTAGGCGGACTATTTTATTGCATTTTCTTGCACAAAATACACCTAAAAGTGTAGAAAAAAATTGACAGCCAGATCAGAGTAGAGGAAGACACCTATTACCACCTAAAAGTCATTTTACCAAAAAAACCAAAATTTTAAAAAAGTTCCTAATATAATTCAATTTTTCTTAGGCGGACTATTTTATTGCATTTTCTTGCACAAAATAC